CTCTCTCTCTCTCTCTCTCTCTCTCTCCCCCCACACACACACACACACTCTCTCTCTCACATACACCCACACATGCCCACACACAAACACACACACAGGGCATGTCTACATGTGTTTTACTGTGGAGTAGACTAATTTTTTGTGCAGGAAAGCATCACTGACCATGTCTACACAAGACACTGACTGCACAATAACCTGTGACTACTGCCCAGTAGCATTGCATAGCAGAAACCGTCACAGTATGCTATTGCACAGTATTCTCAGACTGTTGCACAGTTAGCATCATGAAAAAGCCATTTATTTCTTGTTTATATATGTATTAAATGACTGTGCAATAACGACTGCATAATCAGCATCTTGTGTAGACATGGCCACTGTCTGCACTACCACTAGGCCACAGTAGACTAATTTACTCCACCATAGGATATTCCTATCAGACACAAGTATTATCTGATGGCAGAGTACACTAGTGCAATTAAATGGACGTGTAGACAGTGACACTCGGATTAGTGTACTCTGACACATACTGCACCAGAGATTATTCAGTCATATTAACTGCATGTGTAGATGCACCCACAGAGTAACTAATCAATCCCCGGGCCTCTGCACCTGTAATCATTTCATAAGGAAACCCCTCAGCCCATAGGAATAACCTTATATTGGTCCTACCCTGTGACCCAGTGCTTCAGGTAATTGTTTCTATAGCTCCAATTATATAATTCCACAAAATACTTAATTACTCCTGCCATTTATCCAGAATGAAGGGTGTTTACATACCAATGTCTGTGATTGTTCACAAATCAAAAATTGCCTTTAGGACAGAAATTAACAATGTCCAACATAACATTACAGTATTCAAACCTGTAGTCTAGTAGTTGACCTGCTTGTAGTCTGACCTGATGATAAATTCTGTGGTACTTCTATGGTACTAATGCTTAATCTTATAATTTTAAATGGAAATGATAGAAGTTTCCTTATGGAATAGTAGAAATCTTATAGAAAAATGCAGATAAACACTACAACCCAGAAACCTTTTTGAACTAGGTCATGACTTGAAAATGTTAGCCTACTACTTCTCTTTTGCCAGCCCCTAAATTTACACACTTTGCCTTTGTCACAATTCAACAAATTATACTGCAAACTTTTCAAATATTGTACTTGCCACCCTAATGCATCTGTCACAGGCCCCTGAAACTGTTATATTTTGCCCATTGGTAGTTTAATGACATACTTTTGGTGTTAACAATCAATGAAAAGAGAATAAATGCACCAATATATTTTATATAAGTTGGAGATGAGCTGGTTAAAGTTTCCCCACCTGCTTCTGACAGCTCTGTGAAAACTGTTAGCATAAACCAGAAGTTTTGGGGTTATAGTAAGAGACATGTGATAAGCAGTTACATTGTAAGAGCCAGGGGAATACTGTCTTCTGTTAGAAGAGAATCAAAGAAATGCCTTTTTCTCCTAGAAGCACAAATCTGTAGTTCCTTTCTCTAACTGATTATAATCGAATCCCCGTATTTGTGGGTTCTGACAGTGTACTCTGCACCCTATAAGTTCAACGGCTCCAGGATGTCAGTAATTACCTCCTCTTCATCTTCTCACCTTTCACATAATAGACAGTCATTCTCAGGAACAGTTTCATGCTACTGTGGTTGTTTTTGTTGTTCTCAGCTGGACTACTAATGTTGAGAACATTGACACTGTCTCTCTCTCAAAGCTTAGTGTACAAGTTAACCATATTGTTAAATGCAATTGCTGTTCTTAACCTTCCTTAATTGAGGGGCATCTATTTCAGTAATTACCTTTTTAAAAACATAATTTCATCACATCTATTATTTCAGCAGTTATTTCAGTGCTTTGTGTTCCATTTTTACTTTGAGTTACCTTCTGGACCTCCATCTGTCAATAGAAACATGTTGCAAATAATACTTATCCATTCAAATTTGCTAGTTTTCTGACATGCATCTTCTCTAGCATTTCAGTGTCCATCTAGCATTCCTTGCTTTTAATATTTTACATTTCATCATACAATTCATTTATGCACATCTCATCATAGATTTGTGTTGAAGCATTCATGGCTTCGACACCTCAATAAACAAACTGGGGTGGCCAAACAGTAATTCAGCCATGGTCTTAATGAAATGCACTTTGGTTTCAAAGATGCACAAAGAAATAATTTTATATTTCACTGCTTAGTCATTGAGGGTTCGGTTTTACTTTTCACCTTTGCACTGGCTTAGCTCTTTTACTTGGCATGAGAGTTAGTAGAAGCAAAGTTAAACAGCATTCAGTTCAAGGGGGCCTGGGGAAAAAAAGAGTCCTAGATACACTGTGCTTGTTTATTCCTCTGCATCTAGATCTAGTCAGAAGTAGTACACAACTGTGCTTGGGGAAGCAATCCTATTTGTCTGCTTTGTGTCCATGCAGCTCAGTGCATGCGCTGACCCTTACTGATTTCTACAGAAAATAGTAATCAGGGATCCTGGTTTTCTCTGATTTAAAAAAAATCCCCAATTTTGGGGGTTAAAAAAGTGGCCCCAAATCCACATTTTTCCATGATTAAAATGAAATGCCACTAATATGTAAATATATCTATATCTCTCTCTATAGATATAGATATATGCCTGGGGAGCACATGCCGAATGTTGTAACAAGATGACATGGACAGAATGAAAAGAAGTATTACACTTAGGTTTTCTGGAGTAGCTGCTTTGGAAGGGGTAAGGGTGATGCCCTTTCACCATGTTCCCAAGTAGTTATTACCTTAGAGGCAGATTTGACCCCTTAGAAGTAATGTAACAAAGGGTAGGTGGCTGTGGCACTAGCCAACTTAAAGGGGGCTTCAGAATGGCTGTCCCCTGGGGTATCTGTGCCCTTGTTTCCCCCTCCCCACCTTGCTTTCTGGCAGGGTTTTGCCCCAGGTGCAAAACCTGTTAGTTACAACAGTCTCATTACAACATTCAGCGTGTGCTTCCCTAGGCACCTGCCCATCTTTGCTGATACAACCAAGGGAGAGACTGATCCCTACTTGAATATCAGCAGATAAGCCAGCCCCCACTCTGAACAATAAGCTGTAGTTGTACTCCATAAGTATACCTGTGCCTGCCTGTTGGTGTTCATGCCATTGTTTGCTCATTCTTCTCTTCCCATACCTGTGCAGAGGCAAGTAACAATCTAATGAAATAACCCATGCAACACTTCTAGGTAGCAGATTAATATTATTATTATTGTTTTACAGATGAAGACTGAGAGAGAGACAAGATAAATGACTTGCCAAAGGGCTCAGAGAAGATCATAATTTTCTTTTACTGTCCAGAAACTGAGGATAGGGGATTTTGTTGTCAAATATCCAAGTGGATTGTATAGAACATCCACAAAACAAACCACCTACCTCACAGTCATCTCAATAAGCACACATACATCTGTTACATTTAGCAGAAGTTTGCAAAATTCACACTAATGACAGTGGGACAAATTACAGATTTTGCAAATGAGCAACTGGGAGCCAAATGGCACTGAGGTATCACAAGTTATATTTTAGCCATGTGTATGTGAACAGTTAGGGTCAAGTTTAATTATTAAAGTAACATGTCACATTGTGTTAATCAAGTTCATGTAACATAGTTTGTACCAGTAATGAAGCTTTAGCAATATGAAGTGAAATTCTGGCCTGAATGAAAATAATGGCAAAGTGCCTATCACTTTAATGAGATTTCACCCATTGATCTTTACTGAGAAGTGGTGGGAAGTATACATTTTTTGTGTTGATTATTAAATCCATGGATTGGTTAGGTCCTCAGTATTTCTTTTCATTTTTTTAACAGAAGCTTCATAAGTAGTTCAAAAGCAAGCATTTCCATGTTCATAGCTTACCAAAAATAAAATATAATGAGGGGGGCTCTGTCTCCCCTCATGCAGTCTCCATGTCTTATATTTCATCTGTGGAAAAGTCATCTGAACTGCCAAACACTGTATGTAGGTGGCTAGCCAGGTAGTATAGGAGATACAGAAATTTAGTCAGCTCATCTTTACTTATAGGAATAGGAGAAACTGGGCTTGACGCATCCCATTGCTGAGTAAATATGGAAGCCATTCTCATACTTTGTCGGTTCTAATAACAGGTTTTCCCCAGCAGAGATTTTTTTCCTACTAAAATAATAAGGTCTCAAGAGATAACAAAGGATAGGCTGTTCCTTGTTTACATTGTCATGTAGGTTCCAGAATGAGTGTATGAATTTCAGTGGTTTCCTGTACAATAAAATACTTTGTGTGCCCATATCCCCTTAAGATTTAAGACCCTATTTCAAATTGTTCAATTGCCCAGGAAGGTGATACCACATATAGGGACTTTAATTCTCTTTATAATGAAGAAGTGGAACTAGTGTATTTAATTTTGGAATCATATTTTAGCAAAAGCAACAAGGTTTCTATTGACCCACTGGATTCTTGTCATATCTAATTTACTGAAGCAGAGTTTTGTAAAAGCAAACATATATAAATGTATAAGTTTCATCCATAATTGGGAAGCATAGATAAAAATAATTTGACACTGAAATTTACACTTAAGAAGTGGTGAACTTCATTGCAATCAATTTTTCATTATGTTGTTGAGATCAATAGCTACAAATAAGATATAAAAACTGTATTATTGATGTGGCACATGTCAGTATAAAATGTGCAATTTTCTATAGCATTTTAGTAGTGGAAAATTGTATTACAATTTCCAACATTATACATATTGGTCTGTAGAGAATGCTTATTAAAATCAATGTACAGTAAGTTACACTTGGGGATATTTTACAAAATAGAGAAAGGTCAGAGCATTTATGAAGGTAAAAAGAAGTTGAGTAAGTATTGTTTTTGAATGCATGTTTTGGTTGGAGACTGGATGACTCAAGAGAATAGTAATGGAATAAATGGCTTTTCACCTCTTGATCACTAGTCCAAATATAGGCCACGCTGGTTGTGATGCAGGTCTGTATTACACCAAGAGATGATGATGTTTACCTGGGACTTCTATTGACTGGAGTATGATGCTCTACTAACTGTGGATATAGATACATATTAATGAACTGGGAATGCAAACAAGCCACCCTTCCTCAAGCTACTTCTACCTTTAGCAAAGATAGTATCCATTGTTAGCCACTGTTGCTCCTACTACTATGCATCACAAGGCACCCATCTGGAACCTAATGCTTCTGAAATTTCATTCCTTCCTGCTTGTGCAAAGTGTAGTTCTGGCTGATAGCCAAGGGGCATTGAGGACTTATAAGATAGACAAGGCTTTCCTTAGAGTATGCTGTACAACTGGTACGCTGAAAGTGATATGAGAATTGAAATGAGGACTCTGCTACTGTCTGCCCTTCCTCCAAGCTGGAGACTACCTATACCCATTTTCTTCTGTCTGACCAAGAGGTCACCATTTCAGGCATTCCTAAATCCCCTCCCTAAAACGAGTCCAGGAAGGCATGAAATAGGTGCCAAGGAATGAAGTATAAGAATTATGACAACTGTTTTTTTATGGAAGCCTCAGGTTGCACCAAACCTCAGATAAGTTTAAAAGCATGATTTCCCTAGCAATCAGCTTTCACTTTCATTGAAAATGCTTGGCATTTTATGGTGAAGCCTCCACTGTGATTGGGAATGTTTTTGCAAATGTGTGCTTCCCATCTTGTTATGTCTTTTCCCTCATAAGCATAGTTTGAGTACATATTTTAGGAACTTATCTCAGAGGTGAATTAAGCACAAAATAAGTGATTTCAAATAGCTTCCAAGTTCTTTGTTCTAGTTTCTCATAGTTGATACTCAAAATCTCCTTTAGCCAAATCATTCCAGTTTGATGTCTGTTTCCATCTAAAACTGTAGTTGTGTAGGGACTTGATGTGGGATGGCTATTTCCAACCTTCAGCAGCAGTTGTGTGTAGAAACCACAGTCCTCATGATCAGTTTGAACTCTAAACTGTATATTGTATTTGAATGAAAATACTATGCACAAAGTAGTGATACTCCTTAATATTAACATTGATACATCTGGTTTTTAAAATGTCACTGTATTGACCTGTTTAGAGAATTTGGATAGAAATTTGTTGGATTCTATTCCTAACAATGCATTTGAAAACATTGTCCTTGTTTATTGATTGAAAACTAATGCAAACATTCAAAACAAAACATAGATTGACATGATGGCAATTTCCATTAGAAGTCAGATGATTTGTTTAGATGTGCCACTGCAAATGTTAAAAAAACAGTTCACAACAGTTCAGCAAAAACTTTACTAAAGCATTTGATTATGCACCTGATAAAGTGCTTGACATTTCCAACAGTAAACTTACACGTAGAATGATAACAGGCCTCTCTTATATTTCTTTGTCTTTCCACAGGTTTCAGAAAGTTTCAGAACTTGACATACTGGACAAATTGTCCAAAAATCAATCTAATGAGATTAATTAAAGAGGAGTGCAAATCTTACACTTAGAACAATCCCATAAATAAATACAGATTAACAAATGGACAGCTAGGTTACAGTACTACAGAAAAGAATTGGGGGGTGTAGTGGACTGCAAGGTGCACATAAACTACCAGTGTGCTCTTGTTGCAAAAAAATGCCAAGAGCATAATGGGTTGTATCAACAGGAGTGTGCCCTGCAGGCCAGGGGAAGTGATTCTTCTGCTCTGTTCAGCAGTAGTGAGATCACTATCCAGTTTGGGCACCACACATTAGGAAAGACATAGATCCACTGGAAAGAGTTCGGAGGAAGAGTAAGAAAGATTACAGGTTTAGTAAACATCACCTATGAGAAAAAGTTGGAAGAACTGGAATTATTTAGTGACATTAATCATGAATCATCTGCATAAAGCAAGGCATGGATAGAATCAGAAACAATTGTGATTTCATGGAATTGATACCCTGTTAGCCCATGTTTCAGATCATTAGAGAATGTTTTAAAAGGTAGTGAAGCTAGTATTTGAACACTATTTGATAATAAGCAATGATTAGCTGTAGAAGAGCTTTGTCCATTGAAGTTACTGCCAGTTCCTTCCACAATTTTAATAGTTCTGTGGAATCAAAGGCTCCCTTTAAATCTACAAAAGCTACATATAAATGATTTTGCCTTTTCACATATTTGATGCCAGATAATAAGCAGTGGTCCATATGAGAAATGTCTTCTCTGAAACCAGCCTGCTCTTGTCAGAAAACATTATTTTCAGTGATACATGTTTGTAGATGAAAAAGTCTCTCCCCAATATTCTGGCTGGAATACACATACAGCTAATGGGATGATATGCTGCAGGATCTCTCTTGTTAGCATTTTAAAAGGTTGGGGCTATTATATTTTCATTCCAATATTTAGAATAAATGCTTTCTAAAATAATTATTTTAATTTTTGGTCAAAATTGGAGACCACTAATCTTAAAATATAATTTTTTATTCTAGAGAAGAAATGATTGAGGGAGGGATTTGATAACAGTTTTCAAAAACCTGAAGGTTGTTATAAAGAAGATGGTGATAGAATTATTCTCTGTGACTGTAGGGGACAGGACTCAAAGTAATGGTCTTAAATTGCAAAAAAAGAAATCAAAGTGGATATTAGGAAATATTTTTAACTATGAGGACAGTTAAGCAACGAAGGATATTACCAAGCTAGGATTTAGAATTTCCATCCTTGTAAGCTTTAAGAGCAGGATGTACAAATACTGGTTTTGGATGGGGATAATCCTTTAAATGGGGGTTTGAAGCAGTGGGTTGATTTAGATGACCTCTTGAGGTTCATACCAGCCATATTTTTCTATGAGTCTCACTTTTCTTCTTCTTCATTTCTTTATCTGCCTCCAGTTCCTAACATTATATACTTTTTCCAAAGTCCTTGCTTCTAAACGTTTTCATGCTTTCCTCTGCTCTCTTTCCCTCATAAAAAGTTTCTCCTTTCTTTCTAATGGAAACTTGTAGTGTTTCTGTTTGACAAGACAAACTGCTCACCTGGATGACTGAGAAACATGTGTCTATGCTTATGGCATGGGGTGGCATCGTACTGACTCTTTCAGTTGCACACCATAGATGGGAAGCTGGTCCTACTGGAGTGAACCTGAGCTGTGTCACTGATTTCAAGTGCCAGGATTTCACCCCATGCACTAATTAGTTTGACCTTGCTTGCCCATGCAGTTTGGGTCATAC